CACACAAGTTTCGAGTCCCATCTGCACCTCCGATTAGCACGGTTGGCCACGCATGGTGCAAAATAAGTTCTACATACATTAAAGTCCGTAATGAAGGTGAGTTAAATCGCATAAATATAAATGCATCTTTAAACCCGCCCCTACCCGACAGCCAATTAGTAAGGTGTGTCACATAAACAAAACGTCGATTAGTGACTAGTTCAGCACACTGGTGTGTCGGAGAGTAAACCCACAACATGTACAATTTGAGTACGAAATTTAACTGCTGATTACAACCAACTCCATCAAGATATTAACCAGAATTGTGAATAGCATCAATAAACTAGTTCCTCGTTTCCACGGACCTCACAAACTTCTAGACGTCATCGTGGCCCCAAGCCGTTGATGCCACCCAAATCTCGTCGCCAACGCTCCCTTACCCACCACCAAATCCTGCAGCAGCTGCTGCTATCGTCAGGAGAAGTATCTGCCCTTAAAGAGAAACGTTACCAAACCCTGACGCTTTGCTCGCTTATGGTTTTCAACACAAACGCCATTGAGTGAAAACCGGTAAACATCTTCCCTGATATGACCAACAGCGTCGGAACTAAAACAGTCCCCGCCTCCCCTTGCAAAATTAGCAATACGATGCATTTTGCTTTCAGCCAGTGGTAGTGCAATCCCCGCTTGTTGCAGAGGTTGACGGTTGGAATCCAGCGGCCGCCCTGGTTAGTGCTATGGATGTATTAACCAACAAACCGCACGCTGTCTGCTTCATAGTGACGTTTCCGTGACGTAATTCGCAAGAATAGGTCGTGGTTACAATTTTTTGCCAAGTTTCATAATTACTCCACAGGGAACACGCATTGCTATCGTCGCCCCCGACTGGTTAAAGCAGTGCTGTGTGTAACGTGTGGGGGCAGTGAGCCTCCAGCAGGCAAGGGGCCGTCCATAAATGATGTCACGCGATTTTGGACGATTTTTGACCCTCGTCACACAGCGTCACGAAGAGTCAGACCACCCGATTTTTGACCCTCGTCACACAGCGTCACGAAGAGTCAGACCACCCCTCAAATATGACGTCACGCCCCTCCCACAAAAATAAAACATGAATCAAATCGCTTTAAACTATTGTCATTGTAGTGCGTATTTAACGTGGCGCTGCACTCTGATGTTGTAAGAGAAAACATCAAAAAGTCTAATTGAGTAGAACGTGTTTATATTTATTTAAAGTTGCGCATTTTGATGTGACGTCACATTTCTCAACCCCCCCCCCTCCTCGTCACACATCGTCACAAATATCTGACACCCCCCTCCAGGTGCGTGACGTCATTTATGGACGGCCCCCAAGGCCGACTGAGTTGTATTGTAGCTTTGTTTCAGAAGCGACGTGACCATCCCAGATGATAGCTCGACTAAGTGGCTTATCACGTAGAATTGTACAGCAGACAAATACCCTAAACCTACGTTTTTAAAAGTGGAAGGAAAAAAACCGGAAGACCCTGAGGAAAATCCACGTGACCACGGGGCGAGAGACACACAAACGTGATGATGAGAGACACGCAAACTCCAAATACACAGCAGAAGCAGCAGCAGGCGTCAGGGTTGTAATCGAACTCCACGACCTCCTGCATACCAGGCGAGGTAGTTAACATCTCATAGCCACCGTGATGATGATGAGAGAGAGACACGCAAACTCCAAATATACAGCAGCAGCAGGCGTCAGGGTTGTAATCGAACCCACGGCCTCCTGTATACCAGGCGAGGTCGTTAACATTTCGCCACCGTGGCGATATAATAACATAGCAGCTCTTCATGCAGATCATCCCCGGGCTTTGGTATTCATTTACAAGTGGGCGTTTTGTAGGTCACCACTAGAATTGATGATGGCTGATGGTCGAGAGTAGAGTGAGAGCGGCAGTCAAAGGAGTATGTCGGGGCGCGACGTCCACCCCTTCCACTCCCCCCTCCTCCCCGTCGGCCGCCTCTCGCCGGGCCCCCGCCGATCGGGTCATCGCCCCCCCCCGCGCCAGCGCCCTCTCTGAGGGGCATAGCTAAGTGGCTGGCTCACAACCGCCCGGGGTTATCCCGCACACGCCCACGTGCACCACCACAAAGCGAACGCCCCTGCAAACGCTTATTTCCCACACACGCGCGTACTCACGAGCGCCCCTACAGGCGCTTATTTTGCGCAAAGGCGAGCGCTAAAAGGCTGCGTGAATTTGTGCACGCGCCTCGCCGTTCATGCCGGTGTTCCTGGGTAAACACGCGCGAGCGTCGGCGCACCCTGCCCCCGCCTTAATACTCGTGTTGAGGCGTAAATGATGACTCGGAGGAGGATCTTCATGTAGGGGCTTGCGCCAGTTGTTTTATTAAAGACCTCTCTTCACACGCGATTCCGTGTACTGCACAATCACTGCCTAGACTCCACACCCCAGGGGTAGGGTACTGGGGATTCCCTAGCACCCACAGGCTACGCTAGCCTGGTGCCAATTTCCCCCTACCCCGAGGTCCCATCGCTCCCCCAGGGGTAGGTTACTGGGGAGGTCCCTAGCACACCCGCAGGCTACCCTAGCCTGGTACCAATTTCCCCCTACGCTGGGTCCCGACTTCCACCCTTCACGTTCCCAGACTCTCCAGACGATCCTGAACACGTGACGGGTTCCAGCTTAAATACCCCAGGGGGGACATCACGTTACCGTGCCTGCCCCCTGTGCATGACGTCACCATTCGTGACGTCATCGTACCAGAGAGCGAGCGTGACACGACGTCACTAGCTACTAGTGACGTCACGCACGCGCGCGCCTCGCACCCACACTCAAATTACCAACGCCACACCGACGCTGCCGCCCTGCGCTCGGTCTCCCGTGCACACCGTCTCCCCGCGAAGACGCACCACACACAAATCACAGACACCACGCCGAGGTTCTACCCACACACACAGAAATCACACTGCACCGATACTCTGTACTAAAAGTGTATTAACGGCGCACATACACACGACCTGGAGGGGGGAGGGGTCAGACATTTGTGACGATGTGTGACGAGGTGGGGGGGGGGAGGTGTTTGAGAAATGTGACGTCACATCAAAATGCGCAACTTTGAATAAATATAGACAACACGTTCTACTTATATATTCATATTCTTAGTTTTTTCGGTAAAGTCACGTTGAAGAGAAACAACAAAATAATAAAATATATATATAAAACAATAAAAAATTCTCACGACGTTTCGACCATAACTCAAACGGTCGTGACTTTACCGAAAAAACTAAGAATATGAATTACTGCAGTCACGAAAGCTTTAAATCAAAACGTTCTACTTAATTAGACTTTTTAATAAATGTTTTCTCCTACGACATCAGAGTGCAGCGCCACATTAAATACGCACTACAATGACAATAGTTTAAGGCGATTTGAAGCATGTTTTATATTTTTTTTGGGGGGGGGGAAGAGCTTTGTGACGTCATATTTGAGGGGGGGGTCTGACTTTTTGTGACGTCATTTGACGAAGGGGGGGGGGGGGAGGTGACTGGTCCATCTGAACAAACTGTCAAATCGCTCTCCGTGGTGCTAACGTTAAAAATAACCGCCACTTTTGTTCAAATTTTCTTGCTGTGGTTTTCACACCTGATGATGATTGCTGGTGTTGCAGTCGAAACGTCGTGATAATTTAATTGTTTTATATTTTTATTATTTTATTGTTTCCCATCTCCGTGGTGACTTTACCGAAAGAACCAAGAATATGAATCCCTGCAGTCACGAAAGCTTTAAATAAAAAAAATCGGATTCTTTTTTTCTGCCCGTATTGAAACTGGCTGTACGCCATATGGACCTGAAAACTCAATTTCCCTGTACCAGAATACGGGTAAACCGTATGGGTTAACAGCGCTGTTTCAACGTGGCCTCAAAGTGCACCTAGCCTGGCACAGGCGGCGTGGTAACGTCACCGTCACGTCGTGGCGAACGGCTGTGTGTGTGTGTGTTTGTGTCTGCGCGCATGCACACGCACGTGCGTGTTTGATGTTTACGTATTCCTGGTTCTTTCGGTAAAGTCGCGTAAATAGAAAACGAAATAAATAATTTTTGTTTAAATAAATATAATAAATTTAATTTAAAAAAATACAATAAAAAATATAATAAATAACAAAATAATAATTTGAAAACAATAAAAGCAAAAAACCCACGACGTTTCGATCGCAACACAAGCGGTCTTGGATGTACGCGCGCGGGGAGCGGTGGCGCAGCGGTTAGCGCACTGCGCCACTGAACCGCGCGCAAACCCCGAGTTCGACTCCCGCTCGCAGTCACCAGAAACGCTGATGTCGATATTTATTTATTTAGTTTTACATCTAAATAATCACAACACGCACGCGATGCCATCCCCAACCTATGGGAGCTCTCCCCTCGCTTTGACACTCGCGAGCTGACGTCACCCGGCGCTGTCAACAGAGAAGAGGAGGGGGGAGAAGAGGAAGAGGAGGAGAGAAGAGGGCGGGGAGGAGGGAGAGAAGAGGAGGAGGAGAGGGAGAGGAGGAGGAGAGGGAGGGGAGGAGGAGAGGGAGAGGAGGAGGAGAGGGAGAGGAGGAGGAGAGGGAGAAGAGGGCGGGGAGGAGGAGGAGAGGGGAGGGAGGGACGCGCGCGCTCCTTCCCCTACTGCTGCTTTGTCCGGGCGAGAAGGGCCATCTATATAAGCAGGAGGAGGACGAGGAGGTAGAGAGAGAGGTAGAGAGAGAGGTAGACACAGATAGACAGAGAGAGACAGAGAGAGAGAGACAGAGAGAGACAGAGAGAGAGAGGTAGAGAGAGACAGAGAGAGGTAGAGAGAGAGGTAGAGAGAGACACAGATAGACAGAGACACAGAGAGACAGATAGACACAGAGAGACAGATAGACACAGAGAGACAGATAGAGAGACAGAGAGAGAGAGACAGAGAGAGAGAGACAGAGAGAGACAGAGAGAGAGACAGAGAGAGACAGAGAGAGGTAGAGAGAGAGGTAGAGAGAGACACAGATAGACAGAGACACAGAGAGACAGATAGACACAGATAGACAGATAGACACAGATAGACAGAGAGAGACAGACAGAGAGAGATGGCCACGACTGTGCAGCTGGGCCGAGCCCTGCAGCAAGCGGCGCGCTGGGGACTGCTGCGGGGCGCAGTGCGGGCGGTGCCGGGTGCCGGGCAACAGCGAGCCGGTGTGTACACGTGAGTGTGTGTGTGTACACGTGAGTGTGTACACGTGTGTACACGTGTGTACACGTGTGTACACGTGTGTACACGTGTGTGTGTGTAAACGTGTACACGTGGGTGTGTGTGTACACGTGGGTGTGTGTGTACACGTGTGTGTGTGTGTGTACACGTGAGTGTGTGTGTACACGTGTGTGTGTGTACACGTGTGTGTGTGTACACGTGTACACGTGTTAGTGTGTGTACACGTGAGTGTGTGTGTACACGTGTGTGTGTGTGTACACGTGTGTGTATACACGTGAGTGTGTGTGTGTACACGTGAGTGTGTGTGTGTACACGTGTGTGTGTGTGTGTACACGTGTGTGTGTGTGTACACGTGTGTGTGTGTGTGTGTATACGTGTGTGTGTGTGTGTACACACGTGAGTGTACATTCACGTGTACCCGTGAGTGTGCGTGTTTGTTTATGTGTGCGTGTATGTGCGTGTGTGTTTATGTGTGTACGTATGTCTGTGTGTGTGTGGGTGCATGCATGTGTGGGTCTATGCACGTGTGGGTCTATGCACGTGCGTGCCGTGTGCATGGGCGTGTGCATGTGTGTGCGGTTGACTGTGTGATTGCGCGTGTGCGTCCGTGCATTCATGCATGTGTGCATGTATGTGTGGGTGCATGTCTTTGTGTGCGTGTGGGTGTATGCATATGAGTGTGTGTGTGTTTGTGTGTACGCCTTTGGGTGCGCGTGTGTGTGTATGTGGGGAGCGATAGTGTAGCGGTTAGCGCGCTGCGCTATGAACCTGGCGACCCGGGTTCGATTTCCGCTCACGGCCAACACCAGTGACGATTATCTGAACCGGTCCCGGGCCTCCCCTAGGTCGACTCAGCCTCAAATGAGTACCTGGTACGGTGTGTAAACATTGCCACTAGGGAGACAAAGGCGGTCGGGCGTGGTGCTGGCCACCCACCCCCTCGTGTACCGTTCCGGCCTTCATAGGTGCTCGCTAACAGCACTTGCCCCTACAGTCTGTTAAGGCTATATGGGGGATCTTTGTCTTTGTATTGCTGTTTACGTGATTGTGTTCGTGTGTGGGGAACGCTGACGCGGCGATTATGACACCGACGATCCGAGTTCGATTCCCGCTCATAGTCACCTGGGAATACCTGGTGCGCGAAATAGAGAAATAGAGATCCACATTAGGGTGGCCGGGCGTGGTGCTTGGCCACCCACACCTCTCGTGTGCCGCAGACAGCCCTTGCCCCGATAGTCTGTTACAGGGGTCATCTTCGTGATTTGTATGAAGACGGCGTTCACCGCATCGGCGCGCGCTTTCACATGCGATTCTGCGGCCGTCTGGAACGCTCTTCCTTCCGATATTAGGATGCCGCTGGAGCTATGCGCTTTGAAATCATCGTCGAGATTGTAAACTCATTTCTTTGGAATTGCTATTTGTTGTTTAGTTTGCTGTCCTTCCCCCGCACCACCGATTAGCACGGTTGGCTACGTACGGTGCGAAAGACGTTCAACATACACACATACATGCATGCATTAATGCATTACGCACTGCGTACATCACAGTAGTGTGTGTGTCTTTGTCTTTGTGAGTGACGATTATCTGAACCGGTCCTGGGCCTCCCCTAGGTCGACGCAGACTCAAATGAGCACTTGCCCCAACGGTCTGTTAAGGCTATACGGGGGGTCTTTGTCTTTGTGATACCACAGTCAATTCTCTCCACTGGTGCTACCGATCGGACTTGAGAACCCGAGTTCGATTCCCAGGCATTGACAACATCTAAACCCGACGTGTGCCCCCTCTAGGTAGACTCGGCGGTAAATTAGCTCTAGGTGTAGTCTATAAACAATAGGTTACTCTACAGTACTCGGGAGCTGGGAGTTGTCAGTGAGAAAAACAAGCATTACCTTGCGTGTCCACGTGGTCGACCTTAACACGTGCTCGCTAATGGAACTTGCACATAATAATAATTGCTAAATTGCAACGCGGACAGTATTTGCTCACTCTCCAGGACAGACACAGAATGAGAGAAATTAACTCGCAGGCGGCGAGGATAAACCACAAGGCAAGTGGGACCGCAGCAGCCAGGCGGTGAGCTGGCGCCAACAATTTCCCAAGCTCTGCGGTCCTCTATATATATCTCTCTCGATATATTAAGATGCGCTCAGCCAAGTAATGAGTGTTTATGTATGGGAGGAAACCAGAAACAGCCAGAGAAAACCCACGCGTGCGAGGGCGCAACACTCGATCCCGTACGGCACAGGCTATACCGCCGTCCCATGGCAGATCCAGGGTTATGCCACCTCCTCGAACGCCCACGGGGAGGGAGATTCACAATATTATAGAGATCCACACCGTGGCCTGCAAGGGGTCTGGGTGTGTGTGGTGTGTAGGGAGCGGTGGTGCAGCGGTTAGCGTGCTGCGCTACGAACCCGGCCACCAGAATTCGATTCCTGCTCACTGTCAACACCAGTGACGATTATCTAAACCGGTCCTGGGTCTCCTCTAGGTTGATTCAGCCTCAAATCAGTACCTGGCGTGGTGTGTAAACATCACCACTGGGGAGACAAAGGCGGCCGGGCGCGGTGTTGGCCACCCACCCCCTCGTGTGCCGTGCCCGGCCTTCATAGGTGCTCGCTAACAGCACTTGCCCCCAACGACCTGTTAAGGCTACACGGGGGGATCTTTGTGTCCCGTGGGGAGCGGTGGTGTCGTGATAAGCTCACTGAACCCGGCCACCCGAGTTCAATTCCCGCTCGTGACCGAGACCAGATAACAGTGTCGTGGGCCTCCCCTAGGTCGACTCGGCCTCGGTGTGTGCGTTCGCTCGAGCGCCCCTCTGTGCGAAGCGTTGGCTCCAAGACCTCGTGTCCACGACCCAGCGGGGGAAGCCGGCCGCCTTGAATCGCCAGCGGGACCTGGACGGGCCCGGCCCCAGGTTACGTTGACCCGGCCTCAAGTTGACAACCTCGTGAGACGGATGTGCTCACTCTTTACACCAAGCCGCGCATTCGCGTTAATTCACGATAACCTTCAAAAGAGTACTCGTCTCAAAAAAAATATAAACAAGAGAAAACTGGTGATAGTCCATGGCCTTTCTTCATGTCAGAATATTTGTTTCTATTGGAGGAATGCGATGAGCTTTAAAGCTCTCTTTTTTTTCCCACACATGTCTAGTAGGGGCTGGTCACGTGGTGTCAACAATAACAATACAACAACACACGATGGAAGTAAACAAAACAGGTTTGGCTTTTAAGATTTTATTTTGAATCGGGTAAAAAATCCGTCGGGCAATAAATGCTAATTTTCGCGATGGGGATCCTGGTTACCGAGGTTACCCTAGTTACCCTGGTTACCCTGGTTACCGAAACATGGTGACAGCAGCAACAACAACAACAACCATGAAAATAATCCACAAACAACTATACAGAATCAGAAATATTCATTTAGCCTGCAGGAGGAATCTCTAACTTGATTTGCAGCTTTCGTGACTGCAGAAATTACTCTTTGGTTCTTTCGGTAAAGTCACGTAGAAAGAAAATAAATTAAATAATAGAATACGACGTTTCGATTGCAACACAAGCAACCGTCATCAGGTATAAAACAAACCTAGTAAACTTAGAAATATAATGCAATACAACACAGAGAGTCGACTAACACAACAGTCAACACCCTACCTGGTTGATTACGTTCTTCCTAAGATTGTTAAATTTGAGAGAGAGGCAAAACACAGACACGGAGACACACAGACAGACAAGCAGAGAGAGACAACACAGAGACACACAGAGAGAGACACACAACATAGACACACAGAGACACAGAGAGAGAGACACAAAGACACACAGAGAGACACACAACATAGTCACACAGACTCAGAGAGACAGAGACACACAGAGAGACACACAACATAGACACACAGACAGACACATAAGCAGAGAGAGATAACACAGAGACACACAGAGAGAGACACACACATAGACACACAGAGAGAGACAACACAGAGACACACAGAGAGAGACACAGAGAGAGACAACACAGAGACTCACACATAGACACACAGAGAGAGACAACACAGACACACACAGAGACACACAGAGAGAGACAACACAGAGACACACAGAGAGAGACACGCACAGAGACACACAGAGAGAGACACACACATAGACACACAGAGAGACACACAGACACACAGAGAGAGAGACACACAGAGACACACAGAGAGAGACACACAATAGACACACACAGAGAGAGAGACACACAGAGAGGGACACACAACATAGACACACAGACAGACACATAAGCAGAGAGAGATAACACAAAGACACACAGAGAGAGACACACAGAGACACACAGACAGACACACAGAGAGAGACACACACAGAGACACACAGAGAGAGACACACAGAGAGAGACAACAGAGAGAGACACACACAGAGACACAGAGAGAGACACACACACATAGACACACAGAGAGACACACAACATAGACACACAAGCAGAGAGAGACACACACATAGACACAAAGAGAGAGACACACACAGAGACACGCAGAGAGACACACAACATAGACACAGAGAGAGAGAGACACACAGACACAGACAGAGAGACACACACAGAGACACACACAGAGAGACACACACAGAGACATGCAGAGAGAGACACACACAGAGACACACAGAGAGAGACACACAGAGAGAGGCACACAACATAGACACACAGAGAGAGACACACAACATAGACACGCAGAGAGAGACACACAACATAGACACACACAGAGACACACAGAGAGAGACACACAACATAGACACACAGAGAGAGACACACAACATAGACACACAGAGAGACACACACATAGACACACAGATAGAGACACACACACAGACACACAGAGAGAGACAACACAGACACACAAGCAGAGAGAGACAACACAGAGACACACAGAGAGAGACAACGCAGATACACAGGGCGAGACACACAGAGAGAGACACACAGAGAGACAGAC